ATTACCATGAGCCTCACAATCAAACAACCTAGAAACAACACTCATTATAGCACTAACATTAATCTCCATCCTAGCCGTAAGCTTAGCCTACGAGTGAACCGAAGAAGGCCTAGAATGGAATGAATAATGATAATTAGTTTAACAAAAACAAATGATTTCGACTCATTAGATTGTAAATTATATTACAATTATCAAATGTCCATAGTGTATATTAATATCTTCCTAGCCTTCATCTTATCCTTCATAGGACTACTCATCTACCGATCCCACCTCATATCCTCCCTACTCTGTCTAGAAGGTATAATACTATCCCTATTCGTCATAATAACAATCACAATCCTAGTAAACCACTTCACACTAGCCAGTATAACCCCTATCATCTTACTTGTATTCGCGGCCTGTGAAGCAGCCCTAGGACTGTCCCTGCTAGTCATAATCTCCAACACATATGGAACAGATTACGTACAAAACTTAAATCTACTACAATGTTAAAAATTATCCTCCCAACCATAATACTAATTCCCCTGACGTGACTATCAAAATATAATATAATCTGAATCAATACAACAGCTTATAGCATACTAATTAGCCTAATTAGCCTAACATATTTTAACCAGTCCTCAGACAATAATCTAAGCTTCTCACTACTTTTTTTCGCAGACTCCTTATCAGCACCCCTACTAACACTTACAACATGACTTCTCCCTTTAATGCTTATAGCAAGCCAACACCACCTATCAAAAGAAACCCTCATTCGCAAAAAACTGTATATCACAATACTAATCACACTACAACTACTCCTAATTATAACATTCACCTCCACAGAACTAATTATGTTCTACGTCCTATTTGAAGCCACACTCATACCAACATTAATTATTATCACTCGATGAGGCAACCAAACAGAACGCCTAAACGCTGGCCTATACTTCCTATTCTATACCCTAGTAGGCTCTTTACCCCTTCTAATCGCTCTATTATGGACCCAAAACAATCTAGGCACCCTACACCTACTGGTAATCCAATTCTGAGCACAACCCCTGCCAAACACCTGATCCAATACACTACTATGGTTAGCATGCATAATGGCATTCATAGTAAAAATACCACTATACGGTCTTCACCTATGACTCCCGAAAGCCCACGTAGAAGCCCCTATTGCGGGATCCATAGTCCTTGCCGCCGTACTCCTAAAACTAGGCGGGTATGGAATAATACGAATTACCATACTACTAAGCCCACTAACAAACTGCATAGCCTATCCCTTCATAATACTATCCCTGTGAGGAATAATCATGACAAGCTCTATCTGCTTGCGCCAAACAGACTTAAAATCCCTAATTGCCTACTCCTCAGTAAGCCACATGGCCCTAGTAATCATAGCAGTACTCATTCAATCACCATGAAGTTACATAGGAGCAACAGCCCTAATAATCGCCCACGGTCTAACATCATCCCTATTATTCTGCTTAGCCAACTCCAACTATGAACGTATTCACAGCCGCACTATAATCCTCGCACGAGGCTTACAAATACTCCTGCCATTAATAGCTGCATGATGATTACTTGCTAGCCTAACCAACCTAGCCCTACCACCCACTATCAACTTAGTAGGAGAACTATTTGTAGTAATAGCCTCATTCTCATGGTCCAACATCACCATTATCCTACTAGGAATTAACATCACCATCACTGCCCTATACTCCCTGTACATACTAATCACCACGCAACGCGGGAAACTCACACATCATATCAAAAATATTAACCCATCATTCACACGAGAAAATTCTCTAATGGCCCTTCACCTATTACCCCTGCTACTCCTCTCACTCAACCCTAAAATTATCTTAGGCCCCATCTACTGTAAATATAGTTTAACAAAAACATTAGATTGTGAATCTGATAATGAAAGCTCAAGCCTTTCTATTTACCGAAAAAGTACCACGCAGGAACTGCTAACTCATGCTCCCATGCATAAAAGCATGGCTTTTTCAACTTTTAAAGGATAGTAGTTATCCATTGGTCTTAGGAACCAAAAAATTGGTGCAACTCCAAATAAAAGTAATTAACCTATTCACTTCCTCGATCCTCGTAACACTATTCATACTAACCCTCCCCATCATAATAACCAATACTACCCTTTATACCAATAAACTCTATCCCCAATATGTAAAAACCACTATCTCATACGCTTTTATAATAAGCCTGATCCCCACGATAATATTTCTCTACTTAGGACAAGACACAATAATTTCAAACTGACACTGAATTACAATTCAAACTGTAAAACTCTCTCTCAACTTTAAACTTGATTACTTTTCAATAATCTTCATACCGGTAGCACTATTCGTCACATGATCAATTATAGAATTTTCAATATGATACATACACTCAGACCCCTATATCAATCGATTCTTCAAATATCTACTCCTTTTCCTAATCACTATAATAATCCTAGTTACCGCCAACAATATGTTTCAACTATTTATCGGATGGGAAGGAGTAGGCATTATATCATTCCTACTTATCGGGTGATGATACGGACGAACAGACGCCAATACAGCCGCACTACAGGCCATCTTATACAACCGTATTGGAGATGTAGGGTTTATCTTAGCCATGGCCTGATTCCTAGCCAACCTAAACACCTGAGATCTACAACAAATCTTCATAACCGACCACAAAAATCTGAACCTCCCTCTCATAGGCCTATTATTAGCAGCTACCGGAAAATCCGCACAATTTGGCCTCCACCCATGATTGCCCTCGGCCATAGAAGGTCCAACCCCTGTATCAGCCCTACTGCATTCAAGCACTATGGTTGTGGCAGGAGTATTTTTGCTAATCCGATTCCATCCCCTAATAGAACATAACAAAACAATTCAGACCATCACACTATGTCTAGGAGCAATCACAACCCTATTTACAGCAATTTGTGCCCTAACACAAAACGACATCAAAAAAATTATTGCTTTCTCCACTTCAAGCCAACTCGGACTAATAATCGTAACCATCGG